AGAAATATGTGTTGGGGCCCGCAGACCCTCAGTCCCTGAATTTCCTGTGACCCCCTGCCTGCCGGAGTAAACACCTTGTTTTCCTATGCTTGCAGCTGCTCTGTGAGACCCTCGTGATTTCCTGAGGGCAGGGGAGTTGTTTCTGGTGGGCTTGCAGCTGAAAAGTCCCAAGAGCTAGGGTGTGGCCATTAGTCAAGGAGAGCCCTTATATAAGCTGCCCTGGAACCCAATAAAATTGGCATTCTTATTTCAAGGATGACCTGTGTCTCCGTCTGTGTATGTATGTGTTTCCATCTCCAGCTCCTTGCCCGACCTGCGAACTGTCCCGTAGCACAGGTGTTGGGACACAATATGATAACATGTCTTAGCAATCACCTGTAGAGCTGAGCCCAACTGTGGTAGGGAGAGGAATTCCCTACCGCAGAGATGTTGAGTGTGGGCAGCTCAGTAGGCAGAGTGCTTGCTCAGCATACACGAAGCTCTGGGTTTCACCTCTAGTATCTGCCTAAAGCTGGACATGGTATACACCTGTAGAAGCAGGAGAATTGGGACTTTCAGGTCATCCTTGGCTTTGCAGCCAGTTTGAAGTAAGCCTGGGCTATATGAGAGCTTGTCTGTAAACATGAGATCAAACCAAGAGAGGGAAGTGGGGCCAGAGAAGTCGGGGAGCAATAGTAGGGGAGTCTCAGACAGGTACAACTTTATTACCTTTTTTTCCCCCCACTTCCTTCTCAGTTCATATTGGGGGATCCTAAAACAGCAAGAACTGCTTGTGTCAGTGAGTATTGATTTCCTCTGACTTCTCTCATTGCCCTGATATCTATCCTGAAGAACAAGAAAAAGTAATTCAGATTGTGAATAATATAGATACCATTCTCTCTTTGCTACATTAAGGTAACCATTTATCATCATTGACCTGGCAAATACCCAGGCACACACTGGTATATACAGGCTGCACACAGGCAGGCACAGATGCACATGTAGGTTGGTACACAGGTTGATTGAAGAAAGCAAAAGATGACAGCAAAGAGGTACCTGCCTCTGACCTCAAGGACATCTTTATATGCAACCTACCCCAAAGTGACAGTTTATGGAAAATAGACATATAACTGGTCACACCACTGTTTTACTCTGGGTTCTCTAGATACCCAGTGGTAGCCATCTTTTTGGCTAACTCCTGGATATCCACATCAGTGCAGTGATGTCTAGTCCTTCATTGGCACTTAGGATCTCCTGTTCCCTACAGCTTGACTGATAGGAAAGACCTATCCAGTGGTCAGAACGTAGGGCATATACCACAGTTCTGGCCCCAAGGATGAAGACAAGGACCACATAGTGTATCATACAATAATAATGCACTTGGTTGGACCAGATAGAATATTTCTAGATGATTTTGATTAGAATGCTAGTAATGGAGAAATAGGTGGCTCATTGGCCACACCTGCACAGTCACACACGAAGAAGAGGGAGCTGGGAACTGAGATAGTTCAGGGGGTAAAGAGGTGGCAGAGGAAGTAGTACCCCTGGATTCAGATGGTCTCTAGATATGGAGGAAGGAAACTTTGTCTCCGAAAGGACCGGTCTATAATGCAGCCTACAGAATGGCTGTCTCTCTCTTTTTTTTAATTATATTTATTTATGTACTATGTATACAACATTCTGTCTGTGTGTATGTCTGCAGGCCAGAAGAGGGCACCAGACCTCATTACAGATGGTTGTGAGCCACCATGTGGTTGCCGGGAATTGAACTCAGGACCTTTGGAAGAGCAGGCAATGCTCTTAACCACTGAGCCATCTCTCCAGCCCCAGAATGGCTGTCTCTTATGGATAAGATGTAAACTTTGGGATCAGCCTAACTGCTGGGACTCTGAAGGTTTATGTACCAGGGCTGCCATGTAACAATGACGGGTCCACAGGACTGGGACCAGGGTACGAGGAGCCAGTACAGAGCAGATATCACAGGAACTCACGCTGGTGCACCTCCTTGGGAGCAAGGTCATAGGGAGCAGCGTGGCAGCCTTTCCAGTGTCTTGGAGGTGTGCTTATGTATCTGGTCTGTGAGAAGGGATTTCATAGAAAATGTAATTTCTATAGTGCTTGGTGATCGATAGTCAAGACAGGCTCTGTTCCCTTCAAAGTTCATTTTTATACTCGAAAGCAAAACTTTGGTCTTTCCTGTTAATGAGTATCAACATCCCGTTTGCATTTTATTATCCCGCCAGCAGATGCTCATTTGAATGTAGAAGAAGAAGAAGAAGAAGAAGAAGAAGAAGAAGAAGAAGAAGAAG